TGTCGGTGGGCTCCCACCCGCGGCCCCGGCCATGCCAGCACCCCCCTCGCTGTGGGGACCGAGACCCGGACTGGGGAGCTGCATGTGCAGGTCCCCCTGGGCAAGCGCCCACTGCCCCTGCTGGGGCTGGGGGACTCTACTGGGGCTGGGGGACCCTACCGGGGCCGGTCTCGCAGGTGAGCGGGAACTGCTGGATCTCTGGGGCGGAGGTGTTGCTGTAATAGTCCGTCTCATGGACCCACCAGTATGGTCTCTCCCCAAAGAGGATCCTGAAAAGAAAGGAGAACAAGGGCTGTAGGGGTCTTGGGCACCAGAGCAGCTGGGCATGGCTGTGGTTTCAGCTCTGGCCTGGGAGCTGGAAGAGGCAAAGGACCCATGAGTGGCCCAGGGCAGTCCGACAGACACAGCATCCAGCTGGTCTCTTGGTCCTGACAGCCAACACTCCCTGTCCATGTCCCCATCCCCGGCCCCTGAAGGGGGAGGGCAAGAACTTCCTGGGAGCAAGTCAGTGCGCAGAGACAGAGAAGCGGTGTCTGCTCCCTCTAAGTCTTTTTCAGGCCAAGAGCTACTGTTTCATGGTGGCATCAGAGGCAGAGGCCACCCGTCCCTGTCACACATGCAGGCAGTGTGGGCGTCCCGGGGGATTTGAGATGCAGGGCAGGCGCAGAGCCGGGGCGGCCAGCACACCCCTCCAACCACACTGCCGGGTCCTGCTGCAGGGATGTGGGGTGCAGCCCATGCACGTGGGTGCATGCAGCCCCAGAAAACCTGGGATGCTGAAATGGAACTGTGGGGATGGCACTGTGCGGGTCCACCACCCCTGTGGCCGCTGGTACCACAGCCCATCACCTGCGGGGATGGCACCCACAGCTATCGGCTGACACCAAACCCGCCGGGCTGTGATGCCAGGTTGGATCGGCCCCATGGTACAATTGACGCTGCTGACGAGGCCGTCCCGTGCCTGGAGTGGTGGCTGGGTCCCTCGTGTGCTCCCCACCATAGCTCCCTTTGCGTCAGCGACGCCAGCAATACCAGCCGTGGAAAGGAAGGGGATATCAATGTCCTGGCTCACCCATGGGAAACACTCGCCTAAAAGATTGGGGGAGCACCAAGCCCTGATCCCGCATATCAGAGCCGTGCCAGGCCACCCCTGCGGCCCCTGCCACGGTGAGGGGCTCTGTGCAGCCCCCGCACAGAAGTGCAGCCCTGGCTGACGGCAAAGGGGTCTGTTTGCAGGAGGTTCTATCTCTCTGCCTGGCTTCTGGGAAGGGGGGAGAGCCGTTGCTGCATGGGAAGGAGGGACCATTACCACTGCCAAGCTGGGGGCCGAACTCTGGTCTTTGTTTTACACCAGTGTCAAGGCTGAGAGTGCACATCTGGCCCGCATTAGTCCAGCTGTGCCAACACACCCAGAGGGAGCCGTGGCACAGGGCCACTCACCACTTGAAGACGAGGTTGAGCCAGTCACCGATCACGGCCACCCAGATAAGCCTGATGCCCACCGACTCGCTGAAGTGGAACCAGATAGGGAAGAGGACAAAGAAAGCGTTCCTGAGGTCAGCGGCGAAGGAGATGAAGAGGAACCAGTCCTGGGAGCCCTGGAAGTGCTCCTGCAGCCAGCGCGTTGCCTGGATGCCCGTGTCGTGCAGGTGGTTCATGCTGGCCTCCATCTTCCTCTGCAGCCGCTGCCCGTCGGCGTGGCTCAGGCTGTCCTGCGCTCCACCGCACCGCCGGGATTTTATACTCTGCAGGCTCTTGTTTGCTGCGGGCAGGTCGCTTGTCCCAGCACTGATCTTTGGACCCAAAACCACTTTTGCCAAAGGTGCATCACCGGGGGGTTGTTACAAACATGTTTGGAACGACTTACGTAAAAGGGAAAAAACAGGCTTCGAGGGTGCATGGAGCCGCATGGAACATGGGGTGCTCCGGCACCAGCACCTTAACCCTTCCCCGCACTGTCCCCTCCTCACAGCGCGCAGGCGGCTGCCTCACTTGAGGGGATCCTGCAGCCCCTGCTCCTCCTGCTGCCCAATACAACAGTTCAGCTGCTCCTCCCGAACCCCGGCGTTTGCTCTGTTATCAGGGGGGAGATTCAAGCACCCGCACTCTGTATGAACAGCACTGCAGAGCTGCCACAGCCCCAAGCTGTGACGTTTCTCCCATCCCTCTGCCATCACCCCAAGCACCACCGGAGCATTGCAGGGATGCCCAGGAGTGTGGGCTGGGTTGTGCGTGGCGTAGGGTGCAGGCTGCCCACCACCCCCACCTCAGCTGAAACACCTTGCTGCCGTGGCGTTCGCCAGGCTGATTTAACCAGGACTCTGCATGATGGGAAACTTTCCAAGCCGTTTCTGGAGTTCCCTGCAGCCTCAGACGGTGAGCTCGGGGAGCTCCTGGCTGCCAGTGATGTTTTTCTGATCTCTAGTGTGGGGTTAAAGGACCTTTGCAAATGAGGTCTCCTGCAAGGGAAGGCATTCCTCCCAGCACAGCTCCCCTGGGTTAACCCTTCCTGCACAAAACTGCCCCGCCAGAGCCCGGCTGCGGGGACAGAGCTGAACACACCACTCGTCCTGCCAGTGCCAGGTCCCTGCCCATGGCCCTTCCCCAGCCACGCTGTGCTGTCGCTGGCAGCAGTGCCGGCACTGCAGCTGTGTCGTCCTGTTTCTCCCCGGGAGGTAACGGTGAATGAGTAACATGGAGAGCTATTTCCTGGAGCCTGAGGACACAGGGTCAGCCTGCCAGGAGAAACCTCCTTCCCCAGGTCTGGCTGGCCATCATGGTTGCTGGCGCACGGACACGCAGCCCTGTGGCAGCAGCACGGGGTGCCCAGCCAGAGCCCGCTGCAGCAAAACAGGCAGCTGCCCGTGCATGGGGGAACAGACAACGAGGCGTTAATGATTAGCAACCAGTGAAAATGCATCACTTATCTCCCTTCTGAGAAAGTTCAGGTCAAGATCCTTGAACCGCTACCCGTGTGCTGTTTGCCACAGTGCAGAGCAGGCAGAGGTCGTGTCCAGCGCCGAGTCCTGCTCACAAACAGCAGGCTCTGAGCAGCAGGGTCCGCGGGCAGCATCCTGTCCCCTTGCCTGCATGTAGCCCGGGGAGCCACGGGGTCTAAAAGGCAAAAACATGGCAAACCTTCCTCCCTGGAATACAGGCATGGACTGCTCTTGGAGCTGCCAGGCCGAGGAAGAGGGATCGTATTTGCACACGCCTGTGCTCTGAAGGCAGTTTGATGATTGAAGATCTGCCTCTGCCTGCCTCACACTGAACGGTGCAAGGCTGGGGCTGCCAGGCCAGATCTGCAGTCACAGACCAGCATCGCGCATGCTCTGTGGGCAGCCTGTCCTCAGCCTTGAGGAGCTGCCCGTCAGGCGGTGGCAGCCGGGCTCCCTCCCGGCATCCTCAGGTCACCACGGGCGTGACACTACCA